GCTGGGAAGAAATCAAAACTGTAGATTTATAAGCTATAAGAACATTATGAAGACGAGTCTCTTCCTTATCATTGTAGCCTTAACACCTACCACCATATACCATGCATGCCACAGACATTTATTAAATGTTTGAGAATAAATTAATAAAATATGATGATTGGGCTGGTAATATGTATTTATACTAACATGCTTTTAATTATGATTAAAAGAAGTAGTAAAAACATAACGTTCATGTTTGGTTTTTCATATGAAATTAGCTTCTTTTTGAAGAACAGGTTAACAGAGTGCATTGCAGTGCAGCACGGATGAAGCACACATCATTCCTCTGGCTCCTGAATGCTTCCTCCCCACACTACTATGGCCCAGTTCTACCTTACCAATCCGGCTAGACCAGAGTACACACATGGGTACAGATAAGAGCTCCGGACACATGGAACTCAGGACAGATAAACCCTCAGGAACAGTCGTGGGGGTAGTGATGTCATGAGGGTAGAGGGATGGGGTGGGGTGGGGGCAGGAGAAAGGGGGAACCCGTCACAAGGTTGGATATATAGCCCACCCCCAGGGGATGAATAACAGAAATGTGGGTGAAGGGAGACAATGGACAATGTAAGACATGAAATAACAACAATAATATACCGTTGATCAAGGATTCATGAGGGTGGGAGGGGGAGAGAGGGAAGGGGGAAAAGAGGAGCTGATACCAAGGGCTCAAGGAGAAAGAAAATGCTTTGAAAATGTAAAAATATACAAGTGTGCTTAATACAATTGAATGATGGATTGTGATGAGATTTCTAAGAGCTCCCCCCAATAAAATGATTAATTAAAAAAGAAGAAGAAGAACAGGTTAAGCCCCAGGAATTTTCTTTAACATTTTCAGATATTTTTTCTTCCCCTAAAAAGCTTGTGTGTGTTTAAAGTTCATGGAAAAGTTCAATTCTCTTTTAATCCCATTTCCCCACTAACTTTTTGAAGGCCTCTCATGTGCATTTAATATTCTATGTTGCTGAAACAGCAGAGGGAGCTGAAATTAATACCCTAAGGTTGTTACTCTAGTTATCAGTGTTTCTAAGGCGCAAAGCATGGAAACCCGTTCCTTTCGTTTCCCACTTCACGGAGACACCAGGTCTGAATAGGGAGTGGAAGTGCACCACGGGAGGTCAGAGACGATACAGACGAAATACGTTTGCGTGTTGAAAAAGCACAACTCATGCAAGAGCTCATCCATACAAATTCACATGCCAAAAGCTACTTCTCTGGGAGAGAAGTTAGGCTCAGAGTCCTCTGATTGCTGCTTCCAACAAGCATAAAATTCCTTATAAGCGGTCAAGTGGAGAAGAGTTCTGGACCATAGCAGCTTTCTCTTACTTGCAACAGATGTTGACCAGTTACATGTAAAAGAATGACTAACATGTACGGATTCAATCCTACCTTTTCATATGTCCCGTGTGGGTGCTATGTGTATGCTCCTTCTTCATTTAGTGCTTATCATCCCCACCCCACTCCCCCTGTGTCTCTTTGGAGAGCGTACAGTTTGTTTCTGTTCTTTCAGTGATTATCCAAGAAATCTCAATACCCTTTCTTCAATGATCGAAGTCTAAGGTCAGACGTTTGAAGGCACCAGCTACCCTATAGCAGAAAAACGAGACTTCCTACTTCCATAAAGAGTTACCGTCTCAGAAGTGCACAGGGGCAGTTCTTCTTGGTCCTATAGGGTTGCCGATGGGTGGGAGCTACTTGATGGCAGTGAGGTATTTAGTTTGTTGGGAGAATTTTGGAAACTGTATCCGAGGCGCTCTGGTGGCATGGTGGGTTACGGTTGGGCTGCTAACCACAGGTCAGCGGTTTGAAAGACGCAGCTGGCAACACTTGTAAAGGTCCGCCAGTTTCAGAAACGCACAGAGGCAGTCTGTCTGCTCCTGCGGGTCGCTGAGTCAGAACTGACACAGCAGCACAGTGAAATGTAGGAAAGGGCATCCAAGGCTTACTTACACTCCAGACAATAGCTCTTACTGCTTTCATTCTATTTGTCTCCTGTCTCCTTATTGATGGTGTATGTTTTAATTGTACACTGTGTTGTGGTGGTTGTTTTTTAACGCCTCAAGTCATTATTAATTTTCCAATAATGAATATGCATTGATATTTCCCCTTGGTGGTAAAAATTCTGACGCTCCTCCTTCCCATCATGGGGCAGGGTTGCTCTTCCCCACCCTCGTGAAGTCAGATGTGGCTGCCTGGCTTGGTTTGGCCAGTGACAGGTGTGCACTCGCAAACTGGGTCAGTCCTGGAGGAACACCATTAAGGGCTAGTATTCCTTTCGCTGCTTCCTTTTCCTCCTATCCCAGCAAGCAGCAGCATTCCAAAAGCATCCATAGATGGAGGAGTCCTCACCCTGAACCCTTGAAATAAGACAATGTGAACGTAGGGTCTAGCCAATACCCAGTGGACATACAGCAGAAGCGAGAAAACCTTGATTCTTTTGATTCCTGAGCATTCGGGATTCTTTATTATGCTAGATTGCTGTGATAGCCTGCCTTGATGGATTAACCCACATTTTTTCCATTTTCTGTGCTCTCAGACTTTCCCTCTGCATTTCCTTGGCTTCTGCTCCAAGCATCTCCTTTAGAATTTTCTTTAGTCTGGTTTTGCTGGTGGTAAGCTCAGTTTTTGTTGGCCTGAAATGACTTTGTCTCATTTCCTTTAAAATGAAATATTCTTTAAAAATATTTTCACTATGTATAGGATGTATGTTGACAGCTCTTTTCTTTTAGCACACTGGAGACCTAATTCGACCATCCCCTGGTTTCAATTATTGCTGTGAAGAAGGCAACCGTAATTAAATCAATCTGTAAAAATTAATCTGCCTTTTTCCCCTTGGAATTCTTCTCATATATGTTAGGTGCTCTTCATTTTACTATGTCTGGGTATGGATTTCTCTTTATTTATCCCATTTAAGGGTATGTTGGGTTTCCTAAGACCATGGCTTACGATCTTTAATCTATTCTCACAACTGACCTGACTACAGAGTCCATGCAGGTTTGTTGGCCAATATGCTATGTCTCACAGCCAAACAGTGAGCTCGGCTTTTCCAGCAATGGACATGTGTGATAGTTAGGATTTATGTCAACTCGGGCGGGCCAGGATTCTCCCAAGATGTGAGCTAACATAGTGTGGTCAACTCCAGGATAAGATCTTAATATGGAGCAGCCAAACAATAAGTAGGTCACAATCTTGATACAATTAAGGAAGTGTACTGGGGCGTGGCCTACTCGTCATATAGATTGACAGCTGTGTGGAAGCTTGCTCACATCCACTACTGGATCTGAATCTTGCATCTGGTTCATCAACTTCCTGTTATATCACCTGTTGATCCCAGGTTGATCAACTTCCTCTTATGTCACCTATTGATCGGCTGACGGCTGACTTTGGATTCATTCAGCTGAGCTCTGACCCATTCAGCTTGGCATCCACCAACTTGTGGCTTTCCTGCTTCGTCTTCCTGCTTCTTCCTCATCAGCCCCTGCAGCTGCAGGAGTCAGGGGAAGCCCTTAACTTACATCTGACCCACAGACTTGAACTGGACTGGAGTTAGCCCCTTCTACAAATGTGTGAGTCATTTCTTTATATAAACCTCTTTCTAAATGCATATAAGCGGCGTTGCTTCCTTAGAGAACCTAGCCCAATAGAGACATGAGATATTAAAATGAGATTGAAAGTATGTTGCATGTCATTCACTTTTAGAAAGTCGTCTGGAGGGTGGGGTGGAAAGGGGGAACCGATTATAAGGATTTACCTATAACTTCATCCCTATGTGATGGACAACAGAAAAGTAGGTGAAGAGAGATGTTTGACAGTGTTAAGATATGACATAATATTAATTTATAAGTTATCAAAGGTTCATGGGAGAGGGGGGAGCAGGGAGGGAGGGGGGGAATTGGGGGGTTGTACCAAAGGCTCAAGCAGAAAGCAAAAGTGTTGAGAATGATGAGGGAAACAAATGTACAAATGTGCTTGACACAATGGATGGATGTATGGATTGTGATGAGTTGTGTGAGCCCCCAATAAAGTGATTTTTTTTAAAAAGAAGAAGGTAGTTTCTCATCTGTATATTTTAGAGAGCTTTCCTTGAAAATTGATAAAATTAACATTTCAGAGCCTAAAGATAAAAGCATCAGATATTTGAAAAATCAAATTAATTACTTCAGTTCCTCACTTTTATGCTGAATAACTAAGATGTTATTGTCTACTTATCAGCCTGCCTAGGAATGCAAGTGGTGCATTGGCCTGTTAACTGCAAAGTTAGCGTGGCTCAAACACACCAAGTCCTCTGCGGGAGAAAGCAGAGGGAGTCTGTTCTCATAGAGATTTACCATCTCAGAAACCTTAAGGAGCAGGTCTGCTCCGGTTTGTAGGGTTGCTATGAGTTGCAATCGACTTATTGACTGGGCATTTGTCTACTTAAGAGTTCATTCAAAAAGTTTCACAGACAAAGTCACACTAGGTGTCTCCAGTAGTGTATGCAATAAAGCCACCTTTGCCCCCGCCCCCTGTTTTGTTCTCCTGCTTATATTACTTGTGCAGATACTGAAAGGAGTACACTGCTTTCTTCATGCTATATCTGAGAGTGTTCTCCATCAGTCTTCTTGACAAGTGCCATAGCTGATAAGACAGAGGGTGCCAGTGCATTTGCTCTTATTAACATGCTGAAAATATTTGCTCCCCTACATCTGTCATTTTGCATAACCACGAACACACAGCATAGATACCATCTGGGATATCCTGGCAATGGAGAGCATGGCTATTTGAAATTCCTCTTTAACTTAATTTCATAATTTTAAAAATCCTTGTTTTTATCATATGATAATTGGGGAAAGTAATTAACAGTTATCTTTTGAGTGCTAAATAACTAAAAATTAAGAAACTGCTATGAATGTAACCAACTAATAATTATGTGACCGGAACATGAGGAATGAAGAACCAATGATATAAAATTAATTAAGGTGCTCGCTTCGGCAGCACATATACTAAAATTGGAAATAGAGAAGATTAGCATGGCCCCCGAGCAAGGATGACATGCAAATTCATGAGCGTTCCATATTTCTCGATGTATATAAAAATTCCATTAATTCCCTTATTCTTCTACTTCCCTTAACTCTGGTTTGCACCAAAAAGAAATCTTTACTTTCCTTGTTATACCATTAAAAAAAATAATAAAAGTATTTTGCTAGTATGGAAAAAGAATTAACTACAGCTACTTAAAGAAAATTTTGGTTTTATTGATTTATTCATTTTGGTCTATTACAAAGAGGCTGCCCTGATGGTAAAAATGCTTTACAATGCCGATAACTGTGATTTACGAGACAAATAGGTTGAGTTATATTGCTAGTAGCATCTGGCTTATAGGGCTCATCAGGATTCCAGAAAAAACAGAGCTATGTTAATAAAAAAAATGTCAAAACTATCGACAGGAATATGAAACATGAGATGACTAGATACATCTAAATTGGTGTTTCCTTTCAGGGAAGTGATGTCGGTAAAAAATGACAAAGTAATAATCTCTAAAAGTTATTGCCTTAAAAAAAAGCTGTGATAAAACTGTAAAAAATCCTTAGGATAAACCTTTCTTTCCCCAGAACTCTGGATATTAACCCAAACCTTGTAGTAACCTGGGGAGCGCCTAGTTCAATAAAAATGGCAGAATTTTGATAAGAACAATGAATTTGATGACATTTTGATTTCCCGGTCCCCGGCTGCCTCACCTCAGGTCTGTGTTACTGTTGAAACCCAACAGACAATACTCTTAGCTAAAAACCAGCAGTGGGACAACCTCCAGAGGGGGAAGAATTAGGATGAGTTCTACAAAACCTCATTCCCAGAAAATGGTTATTATTTTGACATGGTTTAGGGTACCTTGCAAGATACTACTTCCAAGCTGTACGTATTTGAAGCTGAGGTTAACCAGTGCCAATGCCTTTTCCCTTGGACATCTGTCAAGGGCACTTATTGGCAATTGTGTAACTTTGTAATTGCCTGTGCATTAGATAACTACTGAGGCAAATTGCCTAACCTAAGTTTAAAAGAAAAATCTAGGGAATGAGATGTTCATAGGAGCTTTGAAAAGCTTCTATGTGTTCCTGAGCCTATAGAAGGCCACACACATATAAGGCTGTGTGCATGCCCAGAGCTATGTCCATACTCAAGAAAGACATTCAAAAGACCCTAAACTCCCTGGCGTACCTTGAGGCACAACACAAGGAGAATGTGAAAACTAAGGCAGAGTTGTCAATGCTCTTGGTTGAGTGTTGAGGAGGGTCTGAACCTGCACATAAAAACACTGGCGAATACTAGGATGCTTAATGTTTCCAGATGTTCTATCGAGTCGTTAGTTGCCTACTACGCTAACCAAGCTGAATTCAGAAGAGAAAATGAACATCGGATAGCATTTTGACATCCGATGGATTTTGGCTGAAAGCAGAGTATAACCAGAAAGATGTTTCCTTGTGGTTTAATTGACCATGCAAAGGCATTTGACTATCTGGATCATAGCAAACTGTGGGTAACATTGAGAGGAATGGGAATTCCACAACACTATAAACATATATATACACACTCACACACCAAAAACTAAGCTATGGTATGCACACTTAACTGGAACAGACTTGAAGACTTGTGGTTTCTAGGTATTTAATTTTTTTCATATACAATTAATTGAACCTGTCCCTGAAAAAGCCTTGATGTTGAACTTATAAGACAAACAAATCAAATTAACTAATACAAATATGTTGAAGGAGCTGAAAGAAAACCTGTCGAAAGAGTAAGAAGGGAATCATAACAGCAATGCCTCACTAGATAAAGAATATCAATAATGAGATAGAAATTATTTTTTTAAACAACAAAAATTCCAGAATTGGCAAAGACAATATCTAAATTTATAAAAAATCACTAAAGATGTAGTTTTCCACTAGAAAAAAGAATCAATGACATGAACGTATGTCTATTGAGATTCTCCATTATGACAACTAGAAAGGAAAATGAACAGAGACTGGTGTGTGAGACGCACACACATAAGCATGCCAGCATGTGCACAATGGAAGTCTCAAGGAGAAGAGAGGGAGAAAGGGGCAGAAGATTATCTGAAGAAACCATTGCTGGAAACGCCCCAAATCGCACGAAAAACTTTACTCAACACCACTAAGAAGCTCGACCAATGCCAAGTAGTATGAACTCAGAAATCCACAACCTCACACATCACAATCAAACATGGGAAAGCTTAAGACAAAGGATCTTGAGAACAGTGAGAGAAGCACCTCCTAGCAAATAAGCGTCCCTCAACAAGATTTATAAGGGTGTGCTCAGCAGAAACCACAGCTTGCACGGGCTGTGGGATGATATAGTCAAAGTACTGAAATAAAAGGACTGTCTACTATAAATTCTACACCCAGCAAAAGTATAAAAATAAAGAAGAATTAAAGACACTTCAAGATAAACAAAAACTAATAAAACAATTAAAAAAAAAAGATAAACAAGAACAGAGAATGTGTCACCAGCAAGCCTTCCCTGCAAGAAATAGTAAAGTTCTTCACGCTAAAAGAAAAAGACATGAGACGATAACTTGAATCCCCATGAAGCAATAAGAACCCCCTCCTGGTAAATTTAACTATATACCATATATATTCAAGGATAAGCCGACCTGAATATCAGCCGAGGCACCTAATTTTACCACAAAACAGCATTAAAAATGTGCTGGAAAACTCGGCTTATACATGAGTATATACAGTAGATAATTATAAAATAAAATATTAATATTGATAACTTTTTTCTATCAGATTAAAAACACTTCTTAGTTGGGATTTTCAAGGGAAATGGACGTGTGGATCTTAATTAAAATCTTTTAAAAAGAGAGATTAAGATAAGACTTGGCACACACAATGGGGGAACTGGTAAATCTAAAGGCTTGCCAGCTTGTATTTCAAGAACCACAAGTCAGGTGACAGGAAGCATGAAGAGCTGAGAGGAAAGAGTTCTATCAAAATACCTCTAGTCAGACTGGGGGAGGTAGTGTATGTGCCAAGCTGGCTGATCAACACATGTGAGGTTAATTGAAGGGTGGAGAGATAAATGGCTCAGTGAGCCTCGCCTTTCTAGTTCTCCGGTCTCTTGCTCTCTGATGGTGGGACCAGGGTGCAGCTGCCTTAGCTAGTTCCCTGATTTAGCTTGCAAGGCTCACTTCCTAATCCCTGAGGAGAAGCCACATGCACCTACCCCGATGCAGCCTTGGGTGCTGGAGCAGCCGTGTGGAGACCCTGCCAGCGCTGAGATGCCTACATGTTCACTGACTCAGCTTTCCTCCTGCAGTCGGCATCATTGCGTCTGTTTTGTGAAATGGAGGAGGACTTTGTGGATTGGTGTTGGACATATGGGTTAATGTTGGACTTGTGGGCTTGGGCAGCCTTGGGTTGGGATGTTTTCTTGATGTGCACTTAACCTTTATATAAAACTCTCTCTTATACATGAGTTTCTGTGTATTTGCTTCTCTAAAGTACCCAGACTAACAAACGGACCATACCTGAAAGGAATTTTTATTTTTCAGCCAATTGATTAGTTACATTCGATTATCTTGTGGGAGGAGATTACACTATTTTACATTACATAGGCTAGAACCCCTGGGGATGCAACAGCTAAACATCTGGCCACTAACCAAAAGGTTGGTGATTTGCACCCACCCTGTGGCTCCTCAAAGAGCACTATAGTGTAGTATAGTGTTGTATTGTGTAATGTAGTGTAGTGTCGTATAGGGTTGTGTAGCATTGTGTTGTGTAGTGTAGCATAGTGTGTTTTGTGTTGTGGTGTAGTGTTGTGTACTGTAGTGTACTGTACTGTAGTGTAGTGCAGTGTTGTGTAATGTAGTGTAGCACAGGGTTGTATAATGTAGTGTAACGTAGTGTGATGTAGTGTAGTGTCGTGTAGTGTACTGTGGTGTAGTGCCGTGTTGTGTAATGTAGTTTAGTATAGTGTTGTGTAATGTAATATAGTGTCGTGTAGCATTGTGTTGGGGTGTGCTGTAGTGTAGTGTAGTGTTGTGTAGTGTAGCATTGTGTTGTGGTAAGATATGGTGTAGTGTACTGTAGGGTAGTGCAGTGTTTAATGTACTGTACTGTAGTGTAGCATTGTGTAGTGGATTACTCCTTGGGCTGCTAACTGCAAAATAAGCAGCTCAAACCCACCAGTCACTCGTTAGGAGAAGACAATGAGACTTTCTGTTCCCATAAAGGTTTACAGTCTCAGAAACCCAAAAGGGCAGTTCTCTCTGCCCCACAGGCTCACGATGAATCAGAATCAACTACTGCACAGTGAGTTTGAGTTTTGGTTCTTGAGTGGGGTTTCTTGGGACAGACCTGGAAATCAGTTTTATAAAGATTGTTTGTTTAACACTTTAAATGTTTATTTTCAACAGTTTTATTGGCAAGTAATTTACATATTATATGATTCCATAGTTCAATCACTCAATCATATCATGAAGGATTGTACAATCACCCCCACATCAGTTTAAGAGAATTCCCCCCTCTCCCCTAGATAAATTGCCTTTAAGATAATTCATGCATGGTGCCCGGCTATCAAAAGGTATAGCACCTGGGGTCTTAAAGGCTTGAAGGTAATCAAGCGGCCATCAAGCTCAGAAGCAACAAAGCCCACATGGAAGAAGCACACCAGCCT